ACGGCGGCAAGCCTGTTCTTTGAGGTAAGGTGCAATTCAACCAGGTTCCCGATCGGGAACGAACCAGGGGATTGGATATTTGCTGCCGGAGCAAAACTGGTCAGTGTTTCCAAGATTGTCATTGTGGATATATAACCCAACTGGACCCTGTCAACCTCGGACCAACTTGTTGCTGGCCTTTTTCCAATAGTCGCGCGTCTCTGTCAAAGCGCGCTGGGTCAGGTTGAGATTGCCCTGCGGCCCGTACGAGTCGTGCTGGGCGCGGCATCGTCGGGCGGCGACGGCTGTCGAGGGAGAGGAGAAAGGCACCTGTCGTTAGGCAATGCTGGGCCCCCTGATCTGACTCTTGCAGCTGAAGAGCATGGGTCTCTGCCATGTCGGAAGGGGAGTGTCTCTTGGTACTATTATCCATGCTATGAAATGAAAAGCGAGCTTTCGCTCTCTCTTTTCTCTCGGGAGCTATACCGCGTCCCGAGCCCAAGGGTCTGAGGGGTAACTCATCTCCGCCAGCCCGGGCTCGGCAGGGTCCGGTCCATCTTTTCTTGTTTTTGTTTCGGAGAACCAGCACGAGAAGCACACTGCCCACATTTGCTGCAGATGCAGTTTGACGTGCGCACAAACATATCGCGCAATCGCTTCTCTCCCGATCCGTCTGCGGCTTGCTCATTATCGAAGTCAAGTCAGGTTAGACACCCAACATTCGAAACAACCATCATCGCTGGACACGAGAAACGCGTGTTTCATCAGTCCCAAAAGGTAGCAAGCTGCCATCCAACTGCCCCCCCCCCCCTTCTTTTGGAGCAGGGGTCTTGTGCTTCGAGACACAGGGCTTCCATGTGGAATGTAGGGGGGAGACCAGCGCTTTGGCACACGGGGCCGGAGACCGAGATCATCCCAAGAGACTACACGTCGCGACTTTGCGGGAATTCCGGAAGAAACGCCCTAGGATCTCCACGTCGTCAACCTGAAAAACTGAGACTAGGCCGGTTTCCGCTGGTGAGTGCTCTAGTAGTAGTTTAAAAAGTGTTGATGTCTCAGTCCTTGGAAAAAGGACGGGTCGCTCGGCAAGACTTTTAGATGCCAGAGTAGAGTTTTTGGGGACACGGCCCTCAGCGCACACAGTACACACGACTGCAAGTGATCGTCGTCGGTCAGGTCGCTGTTCTGAGTACTCTTGCTCCGAAGATACATCTTCCATGACACATGACAGAATGTCTCCGGCTCCGGGAACGCGGATTTCGTCACGAATTCCGACCCAAGGCTGCACCAGCAAGATAAAGGTCATCATATCCATCTTGGCGCATCGCGAAAAGATTGGCGAGTCCCATCATCAGCCTCAGAAGGATCCACGTCGGGTTAAGGAGAATAGAGCCGTTTCTCTACGATCGGCCGAGAAGACCCCGCGACAACGCATGGTACACATACATAGCAGTGGCAACACGGCACCGTCGTAGTGTCGAGATGTCTTCCTCGATTGTTTGTTGGAGTGGCCAAAGAATCGCGCTCGGGACAAGTTGTAATCTCGTTACGGCTCGCACTTCCGGGGACCAAGTCATGCCCGACACTAAGGTTCTATGTTGAACGCTGTTGTTGTTGATCGGACCATCACGCCGGTAGCGCCTTGACGGCCCCAGAAGCTTAAGCTCGCGCGCTCACTCTGTCTGGACATGAGCGTTCTGATTGTTGCGGATGGGGATTAGACAATGTGGGACTTGGCCGGCACTATCAAGAAGCTCTCGAGCTAATGCTGTGCCGGAGGGCCTGGTTTAAAATTGGCATCACTTGCCGTTCCATCGGCACTCAAAGCTTGCAAGCAAATTGTGGCCGCTTGGAGAGAAAGACTATGTCTCTACCGAGCCGTGGGCAAGTCATGCCTGGGGACAGACCCGGTTGTATTCCACCCGACGGACTGGTCTGTATACTTTTTAGGAGAAGAGCCACTCGGGAGGCCGCGGTGCAGTCCGACTGTTGCGTAACGAGTTCGTCCCACCGACCACAAATGTTGTTCAGGTCCAGTCCCAGGCACTTCTGGGTGAACCTGGTCCCCCTTCCAGCCTTCCGCGATGGATATGGTGTAGCTGATCCTGGCTAGGCGCTGTACAACCCTCCAGTAAGATCTCCGGGCGTTAGGGACCAACCAATTGTTCGGCATGGTGGTGAACATGGTGCGATGACACGTACTGGAGCAATGAAACAGGCGACGATGCCCTCCAGGATTATTAGGCCGTGGAGAGGTGATGTCAACAGTGCTGGTTATGACAGCACTACCTCAACACCATAGTGTGAACCAGGTTTTACAGATCCATGTTCTCTGAGCCAGCCGTTGCAGGGCCAGGGTCGGCTTGCCTGATGCAGATCCTCCAAGGTGCCACCCATGGTTGCATGGTAAGAGTCACTTTTTGGCTGACAATCGTCTGCTCTGCAGCAGCCATGTGGGTTGCATGAGCTCCTTTCGGTCGGTGAGAAGCTCCGTTTGTTCATAAGAGACAGGGTGATGAGTCTACTGCGCCCGTGAATCTTTGTTGATGCCCACATCATCCATATCATTCATGCGCACAGCCAGCCCGCCTCAGCCAGCCGAGCAGCTGATGAGAGCATGACCGCGACGCAGGAGAACAGGGGCCAGGGCGACGAAACGTTTCTTGTGCTCGCATAGGAGTATAATACTGCAACGTATGGTAATGATGCGGGTGGGGCCAGGGTCGTCAGAAACAACGGTATTCAGGGGAGCGCCGGAGATGTGGGATGTGCACTGCCTCAATGTCAAGCAACGAGAGTTGGCAGATCGGCCCCCTGCAAACACATTCACAACAACCAAACAAAAATGAAAGGGAAAAAGAAAGAAGAAGGGAAACCCCCTCGCAAAGATTAGCTTGGTCTTGCTGGAGAGACAAGAAGAAGGCTACCAACCTAACGTTGCGCTGCTTAGACTTGAGATGCATGGGCGGGTCCATGCCCACCCCGTGACAAGACAAAACAGGACTGGGCAGCGAACGCCACTGCAGGTCAAGTAGCTGCTGTACTAGTAGAATTGTGTGACTGGTAAAGGACGCTGTGCCACATTTGTTGCAGTGTTTTTCTCTTCTCTCTCCTTTCTTCTTGCTTGTCTTAGGCTTGAGCCGACCTCCAGGCCATGCAAGCCACGGCGGAATGGAGGAGAATCGTGGGGCAAGCCTCAGCTGCGGTGGAAGATTAGAATCTCCTTCTGGAAGCCGACCAGCTCTGGATACTGATGTGCCCGAAAATGAAAAGACAGGTATTGTATGGTGTCATCTCGGCGGCGGCTATCGTCCTCGTCGTGCGGCGCAAACACAGGCTCGAGTCGGCCATGGCTGCCTCTTGTGGACAAGGACAAAGGGAATATACCTAGTATTGCGTGAGGTGCTGACAAGATCCAAGGAATCCAAATCAATGCACGACTAAGCGGTCCATATGTTCGGTGGTGGGGCGTGAGGATGTACTGTAGGGGAGGGGACGGAGAGAAGGAAAGCGAGGCAGATACAGTGCATATTTGTTTAAAAGGGCGGTGCCGAGATCCGCTCTCATCTGGTGTGAATATGAGTAATTGCAAACGTTCCCTGGAGCTGGTTTATTCCTTCCTTGAATATTTGTTTTCTTCGTTCTTTCCCCTTCTACCCTTTTTTTTTTCTTCTTTAGTTGGTTTTCCTTTGCCACAATTTCTCCTCCTTTCCTAGGATGAGCTGAGGGTAATGGCAAGCACCTTCCTTCCACAGCAGGCGAATGGAGGGGAGGGGGGGGGTTTAGTGGGAGCACTACTGCGGGTGTATCGTAGCAGGGCCTGCACACTGTACAGAGATACATGCTACTATGTAATGGGTACTCTGGTACTGTGCTACTTCCGCGGGACACAGCCGCTCTTCCAGAAAGGGAACAAGCGCCTCGCTTAGCCAAAGTCAAGTGCACCGTGCCCAGTAGAATCTACAGAATGCAATTAATTCTCTCTGGGCTGATCTGGTGATTTGATGCTTTTAGGTTCTCTCCTTTTGTCGTCGCTCGCTTCAAATCTACCATTTCCTCTTCTCTTTTCCGTCTCTCCTTCTCTAGCTCTTCAAAATTGATGGGCTGCCAAGATGGAATGATTCATTAAATACTCTGTATCCAGGTGAGAAGGGAGTGAGTGAGTGGGGCTATCACGCTCTGCATGTGAAGGAAGGAGACCTATCAATAGTACAACAGATACCTACTACCTACTTTGTACCGCAATTATTCCAAAAAGGTACCATGGGGTCGAGTATATAATATACTATGCAATAATGTTAAGTATATCTCTCCATCTCTCCCTGTTCAGTGCCATATACGGGTCTGTCGGGACCGGAGACGCAAAAGGGGGTTTTCCCTACCAGGCTGGGTGGGCAGAGTGGGTTGACGTCCATGTCAATTGTCTATTGTCCAATGTTTATGTCCATCATTGTCATGGATCCTCGGTTTCTCATCCCCCTTCCATCCCTGCTGCTGCGTTTCCCTTATGCAGATGCGGCGCTCCGCACGACCACGTCTTGGAAACGGGGCTAAACTATTCTTGATGGCTCATGGCTCCACCCCATGCAAGCCAGACAACCAGAAGGCACAACCCACCCACTCCCACAGCACATCACCCACATAATATGGTACTCACTCATACACCTGACACTCGCCCACTGACCCACTCAAAATCCACCCGCCCACGAAATCAACCCAGCGCTCACCCTCCGTCTTCCCCCCCCTTCCCACCCCCCAAAAAGCACCCCACACCACCTGCACTGTGCTGTTTGCTGAGGCGGAGCGCCAGCGCTTGGGGCAGCGGCCAGTGGCCAGCAAACACCCCCAAATCCGCACTTTCCCTCAGGGCTCCTGAACCTGCGTGGGCCTTGACCCTTGGGCCCTTGGCTGCCGGTTGGCCGCAGGGCTTTGGACGGGGCTCCAGTATTTAACACTGTCAGGTCCTCCCACCAAAGCCCAACCCCTCGCTCCTCTCATTTTATTCATCCTCCAAACTTAACATCGTCAACTCCCGACCCAGCGCTGCTGCTGTACTCAACCCACGTTCGCTAACGCAAACAAACCCTTAGGAAGTCCTCGTTGACTCCTGTCATTCGCTTTGTGCTTTTTTGTTGTACTTTTCTTTTTTTGTTTCGTTTACTCCCTCACATCCAAATCCTGTGGCAAGGAACAGCACCTGTACCCGGACTCCACCGTACTCGTACTACTTGTCAAGACAACACAAACTGATATCACCCCAAAGACCATCTGCCAACCTCGGATACTATTCGCCTCCAGAGTAGCAATTATCAGTATATCTCAAGCTGGAATCCACGATCCTACGGTCCGACAAGCCCCAATCGACCTCGTAACTTGAACCAGACCGCCTCGATTCATCACCATCCTGAGAGTGCACCGGTTCGATGCCCTCCCAGATTCAAGCATCATCATCCAGATTTTGCTCACATTCGCTTTGACCTCCCCCAAAGGTCCCTTCTTCCACTCGCTATCGCCCCTGGAGAAGTCACGCAGGAAGAGAGTCAGAGGAAGGAATAGTTGGTTGTGTATTGTTCCTCTTTGTTCTTAATCGGCCAAACATCGATGCGATCGAGGTCTTCCCATCTACCATAACTCGATCTCGACAAAATCAATCTCGACTCGAACGATAACCTTCCGGCTCTCGACTCGTTTCTACAGGTTCAAGTCTTGCGACTCGGATCTTTCTCCTGCTTCGCATTTACCCAGGAGCAATCGCTATATTCAACCTCGGGTCTTGGACTATCACCTCTTTTTTCCTTGTTAAAGAGACACTCGCTCTGAAATCACCCGTGTTGTCACGAGTGATATCTCTATGTAAGCAAACCTCAGTTCCTTTGCTACGATGGTCTCATCAGTGTAGCTTTGTGACTCGCCGTGTCCCACAGCCTCGCAGCCGTACTAACACGGAGATAGCTCATTCTACTCTCAACATCCCGAATTTCTGCAACAATGGCTGGTCCAGGTGGCGGTCCTCCCCGTCGAAGGTATGTGCCCTCACTTGTGCTGATTTCCGGATAACCACCGTTGGGGTGCTGACCAGTTTCGATAGCCATACCAAATCTCGCAAGGGCTGCGAGACCTGCAAGAAGCGCCACATCCGATGTGATGAGAACTTCCCGCAGTGCAAGAATTGTACCAAGCACAAGATCAGGTGCCCATACAATGACCTCCCGATCCAGGAAGCCAGGCCCAACGGCCCTGCCAATCTGATGTGGGACCCCGAAATCGAAGCCGTCATCGATCAGTGGCGCCGGACGGGCTTCTTCCCGTTCCCGGATCTGCAAATCGTCAACCCGCCCATGCCCGAGAACTACACCGTCGAGGAGCTGAGGTTGATTCACCATGTGGCATCCATCAGCAACGAGCTCAGCGCTTGGGGTGCCAACGGCTTCACCCTGTGGACTCGCCAGATTCCCACGTGAGTGTCAAATCATCATATCCGTCCCTCCTTTCAATGACATGTCGATCGTTTTTTTTTCTTTTTTTTGCTAACATGACCGTCGTTAGTATTCTTGGAGTTGGCGCCGTCCACCGCTTCGTCATGGAGGCCTTGCTGGCTTTCTCCGCCGAACACATCTCCAACATTACCGGATGCCCTATGGTCGGCAAGATGGCGTTCGAACATCGCGGGCGTGCACTGATGGGCGTCAGCAAGGCCCTCAATGCCTTCTGCGAGGGAAACTCCGATGCCATTCTCGCCGCCTCCATGGTCCTCTCCTGGCAAGCCACGGACTGGAGGAGCTGGACCCAGCACATGCAGGGCACCCGAGGAGTCATTGACCAGATGGGCTCCTGGAAGCACAAGTCTCAGTTTGGGGATTTCATCTCAGAGACCATTACGTTCCCAACCGCTCCTGCTTCTCCTTCCCCAGATCACAAGCCGAAGCTCCCAGGCAAGGATGACTCGGAGGCGTTCAACAACACCCTTGCGCAGCTCCAGAAACTGGAGATCCACCTGAAGCAGAGCCGAGAAGACACAAAGCTCGTGGTCCAGCTGATCAGCTTCCTGAAGGGCACTCGCAAGGTCGACCAGTCGATGGCCGTGGCTGATCAATTCGAGCGGCTCAAGCCCTTGCGAGAGTGGCTGTTCTGGCTTCCTGTCATGCACCTGCGCCAGACGCACGCATCTCCAAATGCCCTCGTGGTCATTGCTTACTACTACACCGTGGCTGTTCTCATGGAGCGTATGTTCCCTGAGATTGGTGCTGCGTACTTTGGGAATCTGGCCATCGGCCCCCTGGAGGAGATTGACAAGCGGCTGGTATCTCACAGCGTTTACGATGCTGAGGGATACCCTGAGGCGACCCGGCAGCTCATGAGCTTTGCTAGGGACATGGTCAGGGAGTTCCGCGTTCGCATGGGCTGGTTCACGCCGTCCCCATCGCCTTTCTCTGCCCAAGAGGACTTTGTCCTGCCAATGACGTCGGCGCCTCTGGCCGATGGTCTCCCGTACTCGGGCAACCCGATCTTCAGCTACAGTACCGAGAACCTGTCTATCAAGTCCGACAGCAGTGTCACCGGCGTTCCCAGCCCAGTCGCCATGCCGTCTCCCTATAGCAACCAGCAGTACCTGAAGATCCCTCCACCGATGGCTGGCTGTTATAGTCCCGTGTCCAGCACATGTGAGGCATCCAGCATCGGAGACGAGTTCAGCTATGAGACCTCGCCCATCGTCTACAGCGACAATGAAGACTCTGGCTCATACGGCTTGGGCTACGCTGGACCCAATCTGCGATTATCCCTGTCAGGGCCAGGCAGCACCGAGAACATTGAGGCCTTCAACTCGTGCAACATGGGATACAACGGCAGTCTGCCCCAGATGGGCGGGCCGTACGACTTCGGGTTCGTCACTCCAATCCAAATCCAGCCTCTATGGAACTAGGTCCATCTGGCGGCCACATCCACCAGGATGCAACAAGTTAATTGACAGATTGGACAGGACGCACTCGCCTTACTTGAGCACCACCCCAACCCTTCCGCCGCCAGAGAATTTGATGTTCCGGCACTCTCCCTCCGTATCCGTCTCGACAACAGCTGCCTCCCCATTCCTCTCGCCTGAAGGCTTCTCCATGCTCCCGGTTCCCGAGTCTCCACTGCCGGGCTCACCAAATCATCTTTCTTCTCATCACCGACACAACCTCTCGACGGCTTCTGCCCCACCTAGCTTCTACTTCCCAGCCGACAGGAAGAACAGCGCGCCTTAGGATCTTGCTATCGCGTCTGCATTTTCTAGTCTGATCACGCATTACCCCGCCGCCCTATGATTTTTCTTAATAATGGCCGAGCTTGCAGCTCGCATGTTCTCTTCCGACAGCCGCAATTGCACACAACACTCCTTCAAACGCACGGTCGCTCAACTCAACATCCAAGGCCTTCGAACACTTCCAAGTGTCCTGCGACACTTGACAACGCTCTTTCGTTCGCAATTTCCAACTACGAACTCTCGCAAGATTGTTCACATGACGCTCCTTTGTCAACCATTGCAAGATACCCACTATAGACATTCCTTTTTTCTTTTTTTTTTTTTCTGCTTCACCCACCGGCTTGGACGGAGAAAAACATAGACACTCCTTTAGCAACTCCCAAAGTTATGGCGGATTTACTTCGGCATAGACGACACTCCTTACGGATTTGATGATCATGATACCCAACTGCATAGCGACTGTATTTTCTTTTGGACTGTTTTCTCGGGATGGATTTGGATAGGTTTGGAAAACCTGAGGCCCAAAGGGGGTGGGCAAGGATCAGGAGCGATCCACTTCAGCATTGCGCGGCGTTTTCCTGGGTCCTCCTGAAGGATTTGTGGTCCGAAAATCTATTTCGGATCTGTGCGACAGCAGGTTTTACCTTGCTGAGGAGGAGAGAAAGGCAAACTATGGCGTTCTGTGCACACAAAGTTTCAGTGGTTGATTTGATTGGTTGTGAGAGGTCTCCCACGAGGGTTAGTGCGAGACGGCTGTGCGCTGTTGTGCTTTTTGTACTGTTCATGAGGCAAGAGGAAAAGGCAAACGACCTGTTTTCTTGACACGCGGAGTCAAAAAATGTTCGAACAAGACGGTGAACAGGCCGGCGTCTTTCGGCCCGGTCAAGGAACTCAAAGGAACACGGACCCCCCCTTCTCCAGTGGGCAATTGTCACGGTCCTGTCGGCGGCTCTGCAGGTCCATGTCGGTTTCGACTCTGGTCCAACAGGTCCCCAGCAGTCTGGATGGCTTTCGCCTGGAGATCTAATAGTTAATAATAATCTCGAATTGAATAAAGAAAGCCTTTTCCCTCCATTTTCGCACGCACATTTGAATTTCATTGTGTGAAGTCTCTAGAACATCCTCTGCAGTATCCAATCTCTGCCGTGTTCATTTTCTACAACAATCACCCCACTGGAAACTGGATAACCATGCTATGCCTCGCTGAGGAGTTGTGACTTGCATTGAAACATTACAGTCCCAATGGCCACACAATCTTCGTCCCGCATTCGAGGCCCGGGGCGAATCTGTTCTCAACGCCCCCCCCCCCCTCAAAAGAAGCAGCACGATTTAGCCCGAGACAATTCAACAAGAGCGTGGACTGAAGCACGTAACTTGAATCAGGCAGCAAAATCCGTCAGGAGACGTCGATCTGTACAGCCGGCCCGCTACAACGTTTCCTGTCTAGACAAACCTGCCTAGTACCAACTTCACCTAAGGCCCAGCAAGGACGAGATAAGGGCAGGTTTGGGCCGTCAGCAAGGCAGGGCAGGGCAGGACAGGGCAGGGCAAGGGAAAAAATCTCGTATTCCTCGATCCATCGTGACCCCCCCCCCCCCAGCCCCCACGCAAGCTCCTCCGTCCTGCTATCCTTTCCATCTCTTGGTCTCGCATATGTACCTAGGTAGTGCGCCCCCCCCCCCCTCCCTCAAGGTCTCCATTGGACAGAACAAGCTACAGTCCGTCTAGCCTGGTTCTTAAAATAACCAGACTACCTACTCCTCCTCTGGTTTGGCACATGTATGATATGTATGAAGCGTCCAGTCAGTGGTTAGTGTATATGCATGCATCTCTCCACCCTTCCCCGTCCGAGGCTGCTGCTGCTGGGCCTTGGAAAGGTAAGAGAGGGCCCCCTTCCCCTTCCACCCCTTCCCCCCTTTTTTTTTACTCCGTGGGGCGGGAAAAATCGCCTGACCCGTAGAATGCTTGGGAAAGCTTCGGGACAAATCAGTAATCCCTGGCAGGCGACGGACGGGTGAATTGCTTGGCTTGCTTCCGGGGGGGGGGGGGGGAACAGGGTGAGCTCGATGACGATACTATTCACCGCCTCGATCGATGTGGTGGTGGTGGTTAGTGGTCCCTCGTTCTCTCTTCCCTCCCTCCCTCCTCCTTTCCCAATCTCCCCTTTCCGAGCCTTGCTAATTACTGCATGTCCAAGGGGGTCTTCGTGGTTGGACACAACGGCTTGATGTTAGTTCCTTTCTATGACTCCTTGACACCCTGCTTTTCTTGGTGACAAGGTGCTCAGCCTTGGTGACTTGTCGTGCCTGGCTGGCTTGATGCCATGCTGGGGACGAGGATGTCATTAAGGACAAAGCGAGGGAGAAGGCCACTGTTGGGGGAATGGGGGCGGGCAAAGGCGAAAAAAGACAAAGAAACCTTACGACTCTCTTTCTCTCTCTCTTTCTCTCTCTCTTTCTCTCTCTCTTTCTCTCTCTCTTTCTCTCTCTCTGACTATTGGGCCATGCTAGTGTGTTCATAGCAATGTTACATGTATCTTCCTTGCTGGCCCGCGTGATCGCCAAGGAAGTAATAAACAGTACGAGCTTACAATGTGGGCGACACAGACGGGAAGAGGTAAGATGTCCTAGACGAACGTGGTTGGGTTAAGGCCGAGCAAAAGACTTGTCACCTCACTTTGCCCTCCAATAAATCTTTTTCTTTTTATTTTCTCGGTTGTGCATGCATGCATGATACGTTTGGGCGAGGGGGCGGCTGGGCTAGTCAGCAGTCACCTGACGTGGTTTTCTCTCTCTCTCTCTCTTTCCTTTGTCTAATTCCTGCCTTGGAATATTCTCGTATTGATTGCTTTGACCCTGGGCTGGGAGCTATACTACGTATCCTGGACTTCCCTCGTTTTGCTCTTCATGGGTAGACCAGGGGGTGTGGCGGGTAAGAAAGCTAGAGGCTTTAGGGGACGGGGGAAGGGGTGGGACAAGGGCTGTTTTGCTCTCTTTTTGGTTGTGGAGGAGACCTCGTATACGAACCATTAAAGAGGCTAGAGAGAAAAGAAAGAAAATGCAAGCTGAAGACGGAAAGGAAGGGGGTTGGTGATCTTGCAGTTCCTGGGAGTTCGCCTTCACAGGCCATTCGGATAGAATTCGAGGCTTTGTATTCTCTTCTTTGGAGTCTGGGAGAGCGAAACAGCTTTTGGACGCCGCGAGAGAGAAAGAGAGAGAGAGAATTTTGAAGTATGCATCGTTATGCATGATGAATGATCATCGTTATCAATATGGTGTCATGCACACCTGGGGGGAGAATGAAACTGTCTGACCAAGTTTTCCTTTGTCCTGATGCCAAAGACCAGGGATCCAGTTACTTGAGGTGATTATCATCAGGTTTGTTATGTCTGCCCTGCTCAGAGAGTCCTTGCTGTTGGCTCATGGTCGTTCGTACCATTCGCAAACGCAGAGAAACCGGAGCTGTTCTTTTTCCTTCTTCCTTTTCTTCCATTTAGTTTCACCATTGACATGATTATGCCTTGCGCACATTAGCCGGTAATTGATCGATTCTTCCTTTTCACCTTTCAACATTCGTTTTGTTCCAGTAAGGAATCTACAAGCTGGTGCAGCACTTGTGTCTGGATCCCTTAGTCCTGAAGCCATTGCCCTTCTTTCAGATGTTGAGTGGCATAGAAGCATTTGCTGATCATGACGGGTCTGAGCAGAGCGAGCAGAGAGACAGTTTCCAGGCAAGCAACCTTGTCTCTCAACACGGCCAGCGCACGCATGATCAGACATGTCCAAATCGACGATACGATGCTGCAATGCTTTTGCTTCCGAGCCCTACAGCTCTGCACATGGCGATGCCAACACCTCCTCCTGCCACCTCACCCTGTTCCCGACCGCCTTGGCCCTTCTTGGAGGCATGAAGAGATTACACCTGCAGACCATACATTTCCCATTGTTCAGATGTACGATTACAACTCAGTATGGAGCCTGCCGGGTCTTGGCCTGCTATTTGCAGTGGTCAGAGAAGAAGAAGATGTTGAAGATGAAGATGAAGAAGAAGAAGAAGAAGAAGAAGGACTTGTCGTGGAACATATACTGGCAAGGCTAGAATGGAACTGGATGCTTGATAGCCATGAGATGAATGGCAGGCCCAACTTGCCAGTCTCAACTATTCCTGTGAGTATCCAAGTAAGTAAGCAGTTATGTGCCTTCAGCATTTCAACAATCAATACGAACAAGTGTTTCTTGTGCGAGGCCAGGTGAGTCACTGGCCCCACTATCGCCAGCCTACCTCTATAGCCTCAGATAGCCAGCTGTTTTTCCTTTCTTTTCCTTCCTTTTCCTTCCCTAAGCGCAGTCCAATACAGTTCATTTCCCATAGGTTATGACCCCTCATACTCTTCTTTCATCAATTTGACGATATTCCTCGTCAATTGACCCTGAATTACGAGCCCACCTTTGATTTCTGATCTCGTACGCGCTCGCAACGGTCAAAATCACCAAAAATCATGAGAAAGAGGCCTGAAAACCTCCACTCGACTACACTGCGAGGATGTTGAGAATGGCGAAGAACTCTTGCAATAACAATAAATAGCTGCAACAGAGGCGCTAGAAGCTTTTCAACTGCAGCAATAATAACAACAAAACCTCCTCCTTCAGCAAGATAGTCCGTTGAAGATGGAGGAACCTATAAGTTAGCTATAGCAGCTGATCACTTATGCTATCTCTATTCTTCTTAGCGAGAAGAATCTCGAGGATTGGTTAGTAATAGTAGCATTAATTCTTAGGCAGATGTGCTTAAGCAAATACATCAAATCTTCTGTTCCTGAGCCTGATGAAGAGAAGGATCCTAAGGGATGAAACAAGTGAAACTAAGAGCAGAGAACAGTAGTTATTCTTCTTCAAAGCACATTGTATAAGGTGAGAAGCATGCTAACGAATGCTGGCCTTTCTGTGGGAGAAGAGAACCTGTATGTGATATACAATGCTGTTCTCAAGACGATTTCTAAGCACTTAGAAGATCATATCAATCAAATAGCCATACAACTGGCAAACTGCAAGATAGCAGACTACTCAACTCTTCAAGCTTTCAGAGATAACTTACAGTATATGAAGAAATGCCTGAAGGAGCTTAAACTGGAGCCTTCAGAGAGCTTCTTCCTTGCTATCGTTCTGAAAAAGATTGAGGATATGCTACTAGAAATGCATGCGTTTGCTAGAAGGGATTACAAACTGAGCATGCTTATCTGGGATACTCTTATAGCAGAGATTAATTCGGCTATTGTTATAAGCATAAGTAATAAGGCTTTTTCATTCTTCAAGAAGATAGCTCAAACGTTGATCTCGTTGAATGCTTCAGGAGGAGCTTAAGGGGATATAAAGCAATAGCCTTGCAAGAATTCCCTGCTCTCTACAGGCATCGTTAACAGCGTAAAGCTGCCTAAGTTGATCATCAAGAAGATTTCCTATTGTTACTAATACAAGAGATACCTTGTTTCTAGCTGGAAATACTGTAAGGAATGTGGCAAGTGCTATAGCACGTCTGAATGAAGCTGCAGGAATAATACTCAAGGCTAAACAGCCCAGCTAACATCAACGAGTTTGTTGATCATGGCGGGATCAACAGTTTTTGGTAGATCGAGCGTAGCTAGCAAACCAGCTATGATTGCTATCTCTGCTCTCGTTGAGAACGGAAAACTCTTGAGAAATAGCATTATTGCTGATATAGATGCTTCAGAGATGCTTTTCAACAATCTCAAGTGATTTCTGAATCTGATCTAATTATGCGAATAGGAAGCTATGGAGTTAGTAGCAGGATTCTTCAAGATAGAAATAGCTGGAACGGTATAGTTTGATGTAATATATAATAATGAATTGATTGCTACTATTATGCTTGAGAATGCTAAATTCTCTCTAAATATGCTTTGCAATCTTATTAGCATAGGTAAGCTGATAGCGTGTAGATATGGCTTTGATAGCTATATAAACTACATTATTAATACTGCGAATAAGAAGGAGATATGCTAAATTAACTGGAAAGAGAGGGTGCTAGTTCTGAAAGCTATTAACTGCTCTGAACCCTCAGAGGGTAGTTTTCTAGCTAAACCAGCGATGCTTATGTTGATTACATACAAACGCCTTTATGATTGCTTTATGCATGCTAGCTTAGCAGCTATACAAGGTGCAGCAAAGAGAGCTAGCATTATGATTGTTAAGAATAAGAATTTCCACTGCAAATTATGCTTAGAGAACTGCCTCATGAATGTATATGGAAAATACTAGGAATCCAAGTATAATGCTTCTGGCCAGCTTATCCGCTTTGATCTCGTTGAATTCCAGGAGGGATATAATAGCTGTTGCTATTGCTTTCATTTCGTTAATATGGATACGAACTTCTACTGAGTTTACTTTGCAAACAGAAAGCACAAGATATTTGGCTAGATCAGAGAGTTTATTGCCTTTTTCGAGTATTAATCGAGCAGGAAGATTCAAGCTCTTGGATGTAATAATGAACCAGAGTTTAGCTTTGTTATAGCTCTATTCAAGAACTCAAAGCTCATAAGATGAGCAAATGAGAACAGCATTGCTATTGAACCAGAACTAGGGCGCCGTCGCCCTCGAAAGAAAAAGGGACAAACAGCTGCCGAAGCAATGGGCAAGGGCTCGTGCAACCCAAGCGTGCCTGTACAGATGAGGACAGCAAACTAAGGCCACACGAGCACAAGAACAGGGTGAAAAACCTGTCTTAGACCTGTCCAAAGGGTTCAAAATTGAAAGGAAGAGAAAGGATGCTTCATTGTTGCTTATAGCTAAAGAATTTGAAAAGTAGATAGTATCCTTTATATGTATGAGAACCCTTGATCTACTGTACTCCATGTTCTACGGACTACTACCCTAGCCATCACAACAGTCCTCTCCTAGCAACTTTCTTCCAAAGTTGCAACAAGTCCAATGGTGTGCTAGATCTGATTAGAGGGAGATGAAGTAAAGAAATAAAGAATTCATTGCAAACTGCTAAAGGAAATACTATAAACCAAACTATCTCTCCAATTCAATTCTTATATTTCTTTCTATTGCTTAAGCTATTATTCAAATCAATGCAGAAGTATTAGTATTCATCTTCAGTTCATTTGTAATATGAGTATAATCTGAATAGATTCTAATGCTAATCTCTTCTCTGTTCCTGTTTGCTTTCAAACTCTGCTCAAGCAGCAGCAGCAGCAGCAGTTCTCTCCTAATTCTGCATTCTTACTCAACGAATTCTTTCGCAGTCCGCTTTATACATATCTATCTTAATAGCATAATCAAATCCTATTCAGTTCGGAGAACTTACTAAGAGCCTGATAGAGTTAAGGCTATAAAGCTTATTCTATAAAAGCATATAAAGCTTCTGAAGTTTATTAGGAAAACTGAGAAGCATGATGTTGCTGCTTCTCAGTCTCTGATGCAATAAAGCTTCAGTAGCACATCCAGGCCTAGCTATTTGCTGCATTGATAGATTGATTATTAGTTCTGAACTAATAAGCATTCCTTAAGATGAAGAGAAGTAAGAATCAATAGAAGTTCCAGATGGGAGTTGATTTAACTCTGAGCTAATATTACATTCTCTTAATAAATGCAAGATTAAGCTAGCTAGAGCTGTGCTCTTTCGGAACTGTTGTCTTAATAGAACTAGGCTGAATGCTCTACTCGCTCTGAAATCCTTCAGAGCAAAAGCTGATATATCTCTCCTCATCCTATCGAGATCGCTTTCAATAAACAGTTCAAGCAAGTCTGCAACTCCTTTTATGAAGAAGATAATATTCAGCTTATAGATTATATTCAATATCCTACTAGCTTTTACTTATACAGCTTTGTATTCTTAAAGTAAAGCATTCCTTCTTAATAGCTGATTAGGATATTGCATATAGTTGCTATATCTCAGCTTATAGAAGAAAGCTTAGCAATGCAAGCTTATTATAGCTATCTCTGCATTTCATTCTTTTACATTTTATACAGTCTCTCTATAGTTAAGATAGAGAGCTTGCCTTCAGTTTGAACAGCTACTAGATAATTAATAGAAATCAGTAGATTTCAGGATTCGAAGGCAAAACAGTTCGATTGTATAAAGCAGAGCTGCATTCAAATTATTATCTAGCAGCATAGTTGGAATATTCTCGAAATCCCAATCCTAATTAGCTCTAGCATTTCTGAGCTAACTATTCAGATAGTGCTTGCTTGCATAAGCTAGTAGAATATTGCTGGATTTGTACATAGCAATATAAAATCCTTTTTCAATCTTTATATTAAGCTAAGATAGAGTATAAGCTAAAATTGCTATATTAACTGAGAGGAAAATCTATAAGCGCTTCTATCTAGCTTTATATCTGAGCAGATTCTGCTTATTGAGAATATTAGAAAAGCTAGATGAATAAGCTATTAATGGAATACGAAGGCATTCTATCAAGAATACATCTTATTAATTATACTAAGTATAATAACGAAAGGCAGCTATAGCATGCTGCGAATTAATATCTTGAGAGACTTCTGTATCTAAGAATCCAATTAGATTATAGATATTAAAAAAGTATCTGGAAGAATTAATGCTGAAGATTATAAGCAAGTATAACTTGCAAGAGAGTAACTCTGGGAAGTATTTCTTAATAAGTTCTGCTGCTAGATGATTTTCTTTATTCCTTAGACTGAAATAGAGCGAATGATTCTTGATTATTTCAGTTGGATATAGCGCTCTGGGAAAGATAGTCTGAAAGCAGTAGGCTTTGATTATCCAGTTTCTTCAGCTATGCTGAATAAGTGGAAACAGAGAATACTTGAATTCGGCTATTGCTGCTGAGTTGAAAGAAAAGTAAAAAGGGAAGAATAGCTTTGTTGAAAGGTAAGCAATTGCAAGAGGAGTTTGCAAAGATATAAAATCAAGGAACCGAGAGAGTATTAACTAAGAAAGAAAAATAGAGAAGAATGCAGCTTTAGCTTGAGGATCTGTTAAGGAAGATGATATTATATAAGCAGAGTAGTTGATAATTTGCTCTGATATTAGTATATAGATCTGAAATAGTATTAATAAGAAAGAAAAAGAGTGTATATATACTTGAGAAAGATAGTTATAAAGAGATTGAAGGAGGAAGAAGAATAGCTAGCTGCAAGTATAGATGGAATAGCTAATTTATCTTATCTAGCAACTATTCAAGTAATTCACTGCTTTCTATTTATTATAAGATAAACAGCTTTACTCTTAGCTAGGTAGGAGCTGTTTAGCAACAAACTGGATAGAAAGCATAGTAACTCAGTTGAATATATTTGTTATTCATTGCTATTTCATTAATCTTTAGCAATCTATTCAACAATCTCTCTCTCAGTTCACCTTGCCTTTCAATTCATTCTTTGCATAACAACTTCTCCTCCTATCAATCTTCCCTTGCTCAGCTCTGCAATATGCTCAAGATATTTCGAATTATTACTAATGCTATTTTCTCTTTGCATATAAATACTGCTTCTTAAGAAGTTAATAAGATCTGAATCTAGTTTTCTTCTTTGATTTCTTCTTCTCAGAGCAGCAATTATCACTAGCTTAAGAATATTCATATTAACTTTCTTAATATTACAGATTTCAAT